ATTTCTGACAGCAGCAGTGCTCTGGCTTTTCACCCGCTGCCGATACTGGAGGAGTTGAAGTATCAGGTTTACATTTTCCTCAAGTGGATTTTATAACTCCCTCCAAACTGAGTTTGACCACACAAAAACCCACTTCACCTACATGGTTAAGAAATGCTGCAAGTCTGTCTTTGTGCTGCTACGTGGCCCCATTCTGCGCAACTCCAAGATGTCTTCAAGTGCAAGCACAATAATTTCAGCGATCAGCAGCAAGACAGCGAGCTCCTCGACCTCCCGCCTCTCACACAAAGAATCCCTCACTGAAGCACTCCGGAATGCACAACGTGTGCTGGAGAACAGCTGTGGCAGACAACAGCTGGCACCCTAAACCTACACGCAGGACAACGTTGTGCTTAGAAAGGCTTTCAGCGGTGAGCGAACACAGAACACAGACAAGAACCGTGCTGAGAGGTGAGGGGAAGGTAGAACAATAGGTGACAATTGAGAGACACTATTCCACTTGAAATTCAGAAAATTTAGAAGTTATTTCCATTTCCAAGTGTAAAAAAAGTTTTCCACAGACAGCTATTTCAGATGGAGTTTGTTCTGGATCCGTGAGGTATGAGATTTCCACTGGACGTTCCTGCCGCACTAAATGAACGTTACTGCCTTGGATGCTCCCCATTTTTATCTGTAACAAGCCCATGATCTCACAGGAAATCGAGGGACCATTTGCCATGTTCCAGAAGACAAGTAAGGTCATTCACTACATACAATTTGTTACTTAAAACCCCTCCAAATACAGTATCGTTTACTTCCTTCCACAGCTGCTCTAAGCACTGTGCACTAACCTCCACTGATCCTGCATGCATGTAACGTGGGGAGACTTTCATTCGCTTACGTCGAAAATGAACAGAGACATTTGTGGTTCACTACACAAACGTGATGAGAAGTAGAATTCAAAACAAAAGCCACTTGCTCCTCATGTTTTGAACAAGCCACTACTATTATACAAGTAAGTGTCTGGACTAGAAGAGTTAAGGAGACTTTTAGTTGAAGAAGTGTCTAATTAGATTCTTATAGAGAGGTCTGTACAAACAAATCTCCAGTTATGCTAATGCTCTGCTCTTCGAAGTTACGTCCATAACACATTATGATGCCTTTCAACACCACTAACTTGAGAGCTGTGGCTGCAGCCCCAAACACCGCTGTTGCTAACGGTGCCCAGTGCTCTGGCACTTCATAGTCATTTCCAGGACAAAGTACCAAGCTCTGCGTTCTACCTACTTCTTGAGCTGCATAAAAGTCTTTCGAGTTTGTTTAGCTGGCTTCAATACTTACCTGCCCAGGTCCTATACCTGGCAAAGAAGAGGAAGAACATTGTTCCATTCTTCGAGCATAATTTAAGTCTAATAGATTAAAAAGTAGCAAACAACTTACAAAGCATTTTCAGATGTCCCAGTTTATTTTTGCTCTCGGTAATTATTTGTGAATGCAAGCCGATCAATTACACACACAAAAAAAAAAAAAAAAAAGAATGTGTGCAAAATTCCATGCACTCCTTGTAACCAATCCACAGTATACCCAAAATCTCTCCAGTACTAGAAAACTGCTTTGAAGATTTCAGCTGTTAAACTAAATATGTTAAAAAACTTTCACCAAGCTCTGACCCTCTAGAAGAATTCCTAGTCTTTTAGGCTGAAAGAACACATCCTATATATAGGTTACGCTGACTTGTACTCTGGAGAGACTTAAGAGATTGGCTCTGATAGATATGGTGCTAATCATTTTTAATGTCTCAGAAGATACTGCAGCCCGACTATTTTGGGACACCTTTTCACATTATGAGATTCACTTTCCTTATCCATTTAATCAGAAAAACCCTTTGGAATTCACTTTGAAGTGCTCTGCCTCAGACACTAGATTCTGACAATTAGTTTCCAACTGAAAAAACCTAAAAGCATCATTGTTAAAACCTCATTTTTTAAAAAACTTTCTGAAATGTCTGCAAAATGTTTGTGCCATATTTAAAAACCTAAGCGAACTCAATAGCCACTTCAGTTTAACAGAGAGCGTAAGTCACACGACACTTGTTTCTCACCATCACCTTAATTCAACACCAAAACACGCTGGCTTGACATGAACACAAAAGTGTCTCATTTAAATAAGTCATTCTAATGATGGTGCAGCACTGCAATACTTAAGAAAAAGGATTATTTTTTTTCCCCCCAAGCATCATACCTCAGTAGCTGTAGTTCACCAAAATACACAATTCTAGCTAGCTGGACTTTGTGCAGCTCGGACAAGTTGGGAAGGCTGACACAGGCAGAGAAATCTATTTTTCCTATATAAAGCAAAATAAGATGCAGTTAACTAGCACCAATGGCAGGGAACAGATCAGCTGAAAGCTACACTTTGGGTGAAGGCTCCTGGAGGTTCTTTCCATTATTACCACAGTAACTTCCACATAGAGTAGTTGTTTCATGCCTTTCACCCACAAAAGCCACTCATCTCGCATGAAAATAAGCCCTAAGACTTTGCCAGTGATAACACAGTCTTTAAATCTGTTTATATATCAGTCTTTATATCTGTTTAAACAAATAATGCACAGAACCTTACACTAACCTACAGACAAAAACAAACAAAACAACCCTCTAGAACGTATCTGGGTGTAATAGACCCCGGATCTGTGACTTCCAAGTTCTATACAGACACAGCATCAAAAGTGGTTTTATGCTCCAGGCTCAGCCTAGTTACTGTATTTTTGCGTCCCAGCGTTGCCGCTTCTTGCCAGGGAAGACGAGTTGTGGAGAGCTGTGCGCTTCTCCCTGCCCCGAGAGACCACTGCACAAACCAGGAGCCAAAACGGACACAGCTGTCGGACTGAGAGGGGAACAAGAAGAGGGAGAGCTGCAATACGCTACCAAGCTGTGCTCTTCCCAGGGACGCAGACTGACCGTCTCTGAAGGGGCGCGGGTGGCCGAGGGGGCCTTTCCCCCGCCCCGATGAAGGCGGCATATGCAGATCATGGTACACAGGTTCACCACGGTGAAGCTTCAGTAGCGAGAGGGGCAAAGCAGAAGCTTCTCCAGTACAAACCACGGTGACTAGTCTGGAATGGAAAGCTCAGCCGTGCTCACTCCCCTCCTGCCCTGACTGCCGAGGCTGCAATCAAGTCAATACTCTGCTCTGACACGGGAAAGTTTCCTAGTTTTACTGTTCTTCACTTTCATCTAAATTTACATTCTGTCAGTAACTCAAGATATCATCTTTAGAAATGTTGCTCTTAAACTGGTCTTGTTTCCATTCATAAGGTACAGAAAAAAAATTATCCATAATTGCATATAAAAACCCACCAGAATGGAAACAGAATTGCAAGACAGCAGATGTTTCTTTCCTAATCAATCAGTATGCAAACAGGGAAAAAATAATCTAAGGACTCCGTTTGAATGCTAAGTGTAAGCTCTGTATAAATTTCAGCTGTATGTGTATGCAAGCCATGAGTCAGTGTTGGAAAGAGACAGGTGCGTTTATACGTTCAAGAGACAATTCATGCCATACAGCTTTCCATTATTGCTGAATTACAGAAACTGGCAGAAAATTTTGACTACTATGAAATATTCAAATCGCATCATATGAATTTATGCAGTATGTGAGAAAAGTAGTAGATGGAGCTACAACACAGCCGATGTCCCAAAGGCAAAGGAGGTTCTTTAGCTATTGCTGGGCCACTACCGCTGCCTACCAGCAAGAATTAGGAAATAGTCCATCCGATGTTAAAATCGAGCAAGACAAAAAAAAAAGCTGCAGCCCCAAGCATTTTAGTAACTTGAGAAGATGTATGTAGCACAGTGTTGGACACAAAGCTGAAGTCACTAGAGAGACCTGTGGTATTTTATTGGGATACAAGTAACTAGAAACTGGCCGATGTGATGGGTATGGGTTAGGATGTCTCCAGATGCTCCATCAGTGTGATGAAACTGCTCGTACAGACCTAGAACAACCTAGACGCCAAGATGAGTCTGATTTCTCGTGCTAGCAACACCCTCCTAGAAGGCAGAATGTCGACCTCTGTAAGGTACAGAACAGCAAAAGAAGTTTAATAAGCTCCTCAAGCCATTTCCAATCACTGACTTCCCAGGAAGGCCTGCAATTACGTCCGGCATACCAAAGACAGACTACACGTATCATAAGAGACTGCCGCATGGGGATACCGAAATCCTGCAAACAGAGAGCTCCTGCCCCGTGAGGTTTAATTGGTTTTCTCATTACAGGTAACTGTGGCTGAACAAAACAAGCTCTGTGAGAGCAGAGCAGTGCATTTCTCAGATTTAGTCATCCTGGACAAATGAGAGAGAAGGAGATGTAATATTAGAACTTGAATCTGCTGAGAGATACTGCACAAGAAACCCCACGTACAAAGCTTACCCTGCAGGACCTCTTTCTCTGCCTGCCACAGAGAAAACCAAAGATTAACATCTCAAAGCCTAGCGAGCTACCTCTCCCCAGAAACTTCAGCTTTGTTACATGTTGTGTTTTAAACGAGCTAGTAGAAGCCATAATGATAATTCAGGATGGTTTGTTCTCTACTCTGGTTTACTCTCTTGTAAAAATACAGTAGTAAGCTTTTAGAGACACAAATGAACAAAAAAAACTTCCCTTTTTTTTTTTTTTTTTAAGTAATTCCACTGCATTGGCAAATTCTTGATTTCCGTAATATGATGCCAGCTTGGAGGTACTCAACTGCTAACCAGTTGCGGAGGCCTAGCCAGCACAACAAATAAATAAAACTGCACTACAATTCCAGTGTTGATGATTTGTGGTGCGATACTTCCTAATTCACCAGAATACAGCCCATCCCACACCAGACAGGAGCAAAGAACAGTAGGTTTTCCAACCACAGCCCATCCCACACCAGACACAGCAGAGAGGAGCAAAGAACAGTAGGTTTTCCAACAGCAACCAGATCAGAGTAGCAAGAGGGAATTCTATACTTCGTGTGATGCCAATAAAATACTTACAGGGTTGTGAACTTCATCTGTTGAATGATGAACAGCCCACCAGTCAGAGGTCCATTCCCAGGCATTTCCGACAATGTTGTACAAGCCATACCCGTTGGGAGGAAAAGCAGTGACCTATACAAGATGTGGAACACAAGTACCAGTTCTATAAGCCACTCAACACAAAATACAGTTTTTAATCCTGAAGATCAGTCTGCCAAAGGGGCATCGGTGCTTACTAGGAGCTTCTGCCTTCACATCCGGAAGCAGACACCAAATTAGTAGTGCAGAACTGTAACACTTCTACATACCCCATTTAAATAAAACAGAACGAAAGAATGAACTATTGTCATCCTCAATGTTCTCAGCACCACTTTCCATTGTGGCACAGAGTGTCTTCTCGCTGTTTCTGGAGACTGATCCTCTAAAGAGAGGCACTGTTTGACCAACAGGCACAGACCTGCACACAGGGTTAGTGATCTGAGCTCCACGCCCATGCTTAAAACTTCCAGATTCCCCTGTCCATTACAGAAAAACAAGGACGGCTGTCAACTCACACAGACTTCTCTGCTGCTGAAACTTTTTGGACTTACTTTAACTACCATTTAATACTTTGTTCACACCCTTGATTGCCTTTAAAATTCCACTCCATTGTTTGCTATACTAGACAGGCTCAATCTTTCCAAAAAGGGAAGTTTCATGTCTTTTAAACTATTGTATGATTTTTGTGCCTCAAGAACAACTACCCAAAAAATGAGAGTTCAAAAAATTTCAATGCCAAAAGCGGAGGCAGAGAGTATTTCAGCATTGGACTATAAACTGACTGGAAAGGGGGAAAAGAGGTCAGTTGGAGAAGAACTAAAAGTTAAAATGAAAGTAATCTTCACTTTTCAATTAGCTTTTAAAAAGTGTCCCTTGGTAATACCTAAGCCTGCAGTGAAATATACTGTAACTTTAAAAATCTAAAGGTGAAAGAGTACCAGAATAAAAATCAGCCATGGCTCATTGTGTGGAACACAGACCTCAGTTTTAGAAAGATTAAACTCATTTCCATATGATTAATTCACTTTGAGACTCACACATTTTACTTACAGGTGCAGTTCCTTTGTATCCATCTTCTGCAGTGTTACTAGTTGGGAACACTCCCTGCCAGATATTGGCATAATGTTGACCTTTTGGCTGAAGCTTGTTGCCCCATGGGAAAAGTCTATCAAAAGACATACAGCAGAACAGTTGTCAAGCACTTTTTTAAATTATTATTTTTATTTAAAAAATGAGACACACACACCCCACACACCACCCTCCCTTCCTCCCCTCCTTACCCTGAAGAACTGTTTGTATTCCAGTTCCCCTCGCACCAACATCTAGCAGGTTTTCCAGGAGAGCAAGGGTTTGTGCACGGAGGAGGGAAAGGCAGCTCTGCCGTGTGGCGTGTAGCCAGGACAGAGGATGGAGAAGACCTAAACCCGTTACTCACCTCGTCTTCCCCTCCTCCCCAGGCCCACAGTCAGATAACAGGTGGATCCAGTGGCCCTACAACTGCTGTGCAGTGATGTAGTTATTTACTTCTTAAGCTCTTTTGCAACTCGCTCGGCCTTGGCACTAAGGTCCTTCGCTACACTTCTCATCCCCTGCAACAGCAGCGGTCCTGGGTCTTGGCATTTTGTCACATCTCCCCTCTCTTGGGTTCTCTGCATTCTCTTTCTATTATAGAGTTCAGATTAAAATATACCATTTAGGTATTCAGGGAAATTCACTTACCTAAAGGAATCTGTTCAGAGTAAGTCAGTGTTATATTTACCACAGATGTGCAAAATACACAAAAAAAAAAGACATTGAAGGTAATAAAACCCACACAACTCCTCCTTATCTCATAAACACTGTTTTTAAATATTTATCAGGAACACGTTTGTGAGAGGTACCTATTCTCAAGGCCCCCCCGACAGCTGTACTCCCATTCAGCCTCCGTTGGTAATCGTTTCCCTGCCCATGTGCAGAACGCCACGGCGTCATTCCAGGAAACATGAAGAACTGGATGATCCATTCTGGGGAAGAAAATACATAGGACAAGATCATCAGCAGAGCTAGGCAATCTCACAGCTATATAGCACAAGCATGTTATGAAACTCTTTTAAGAGATAGCCACAAAGGATTGTGAGGAAGTTCACAGTTCAGTTACAACTGGACAAGCTATCAGAGTACTTTTACAGAAAAGAAGCTATTTAAAGAAAGACAGCGAGCTACTAGTAGATGCTGGATGGGAAGTGCAGCCAACAGAGAAAAACAAGAAAGAAAAAAATTAAGTTCTGTTTGTCTCCTCGTGCTTTTATGTGCAGCTCTATACAGTTAACAAAGCCATTTGTAGCTTGTGCTTTCGCACCATCTCCCCCCAGACTCCCGCTGCACCCAGGAGCCAGTGAAGAACCACCAATACACTGGCTAATGTGCAAAGATAGGTGCTCAGTGACCCAGGGGAAGACACTAAAAGCCTGCAGCATCACTCCTCCTTGCTAGGCTGGTTTAACAGTACCTTAACAAAAAGCCAAAATTCTCAATAGGAAAATTTACATTGCAATAAAATGGTGAACGCCCTTCCCTTCCCTGCGCACTCTGCTCTTTGCTGTAGATTCTTTCTTTGCTGTCAGTTGTGGGAGTTTTTAGGGAGAGGTGAGATAAGAAAGCGTCCTTTCTCCTAGCAACATCATCTTTTGCAGTACCCAATCCAGGAAACAGTGAACTGCAGAAATTTAACAACAATGAGTTTTTCTTTGGGTGTTTCCAGCAGTCCCGCTTACACAGGTTTGGTTCCAGGATTGCCCTTACAATTGCGGTCTCTTTTTCCAGAAAGAAAAAAAAGACAGAAACAATGCCTAATCATTCGTGCCCCGAGGATCCTCCCCATCCAAGCCTCTAACAGACCAAGATACTTCAAGAGCTGAGGGTACTGATCCAGAAGACAGATACAGAGGATCTCCTATTAACTTGCCTCTCCTGCCTCATTTAACAAGCCACCATGTGCCTCCTGGTCCATTAGACTACTTCCATGTGGCAAGTTCACTACCAGTTGTACTACGTTAGGTTTGTGCCATACTTCTACAAGACTAGATTGACGTGGCAGGTTTCCAACTCTTATCTGCTGACTGTGACCTGAATTTCTCTGTCTCCCCCTAACAACGCCTCCTGATATTATCTCTATTTTTGCCTCAGCTAATTCTTTCATTGCCCTTGGAGAACAGACAACGGACTTGTTACTAAGCAGTTCAGCCATCAGATGATGTTACACTAACATAGCCCTGTCCTTAGAGGACTCAAAAACATGCCAGCATCTACTAGATCTAGGCTAGAAAGTCTGACTTTATTTCAAACAGCAGTTTTGAAACTTTAACTAGTTGATTAAGCAGCTAGTGCCAACTTCATTGCCACCTGCCTAGCGAGAGAAAGAGAAATGAAGACAGTCACATCTAAGTCAGCATACAGTAATTAATATATCCAGCTACAACAATGGCTTTCAACGTGTGCAACCCAGGGCTAGTGCTGCAGGATCCACAAAAAGCACCTGAGAAAAAGGAAGCCTTTTGATTTGCTAGGTGTAAAATTCATTCCACTTCCGAAATGAAAGAGATCATATAAAGACATGGATCAGCAACTTCCAAGGTTCATGCCAGCAAAGCATGGTGCTAACTATAGGCTCAGAAAAAATGCAGTTTTCCAAAGCATTTAGAGCTTCTAAATAACAGTCATAACTGATTTTCCACAGTAATCAGCCTACAAAGTCAGAATACATTAAACGGCACAAAACTCTTCAGTCACCTGCGGCCAGTGAGATGGGTCTCCAACTCCCAGACGGAGGACACGCTACACGGACTCCTGAGTACGCATGCAGCTAGTATTTAGTCTTCCTCTCAAAACCAGATCTGCACTGAATGCTCTAAAGTTGCTGATCCTCTAAAGACCTGCTCTGTTTCACTGCTGGTGTATAAATGTGAATAGAAAACACAGAGGCACATTTCAGCATGGTCTCTTTTCCCTCAGGTGGGAAGTGCTTATAGACCTTTTTGAAACACTACTATGCCATTGACCATACGACCACTGAATATTGCACGTGGCACACTAGAAGATGTGAATATAGTCGCAGAAGCAAGCAGGTTACTAATTAAAAAACCTTTCTTGCACCTCCATTTCTAGTCCAAGTTTACAGGTATATTTACAGGCACTGTGTATTATAATTGAATGGCCATTTATGGCTTACCTGTTGGAGATATTAGAGTCAGGACCCTCAGGGTGCTTCCAGTTGGCTCCCTTCACAGGCAACCACCAGGGAGCAGCGGCAACCTGAAAAGGGACAAGAATGGCCAGGGAAGAAGACCTGAATTCCCAGCTAAAGGCTATTCTGAAAAACCAGCATGTGACAACAGGCTACAAAGCTTCTGCGCACAGCTCGTGGCCCTGCCCGCAGCCAATTGACCTGTTAAATTCCAAATCATCTCTGACCAACTATCACGATTGTTTTATCCACATTACAATACTGCTGGCCAGGGAAGAGCACTAAAAAAATACCACCCAAAAACAAGATAGAGAGAGACTGAACCCTGAGCATACTTTTCTGAAGTACTGCCCTCTGGCTGTCTCTCCTTCTACATTTTCTCACTTGCAGGTCTGATACAAAGGACAGTTTTTTCTCTTTGAAGGCACAGCCTTCAGCACACTACCTGTAGTAGACCAGACTGTCCTCAGAAATTTTCAATTATAGTTCTTCACCTCTGAAAACATATGTCAAGAAAAATCAGATGGTAATAGTTGCAAGAGGTCATCTGGAACATTACAGTTCTACTCAATTTTTTTACAACAGTATGCCCACAGTCCACTTAAACCAGCTAAACTCCTGGCTGACTTCAGTCTGACACATACTGCAGAGATGATTAAAAAAAAAAAAAAAAAAACCAAGACAGTTTTGGCTTAAAGAGAACTTTCATCCCAATTATTTGCTCCCTAGACTCAGTGTTTCGGAATAACTAAAACAAAATCCTGATGACATCCTTTAACTAGGGTCAAAACACACATCTTGAAACACGTTTGCTTTCCAGTTAATTAACTCAGTAAACTGAAATTAAACTATTTGCTATCATCTTCCAGAAGGTGGAGACAGAAGAGCCACAAAAGTTAAGCAAAGCCTTTTTCTTTTTTTTTTTTCCTCCCCCAGTTGGTTTGCAGACAAAATAGTCTGTATCAATGCAGACAGCCAGTACTTCACTCTAACCAAAAGTCTCAAATTCGGTTCTGCAATGCCAAGGAATTACTCCCGGAATACATTCATTAAGGATTTCTTCTATTAAGCTTGCTTCAAAGCTGAGAAGGTCAGTGCACAGCCTGTTTAACTATTCTATTCTGATTCACATTCACTTAGAAATACTTATCTTAATAACGGGTCCTTTCAAAAAACTGAGGCAAAAAAGAACACTTATGCTAACCACCAATAGTGTTTTTTTTCCAGCAGCTCGAGGGCTTTCTTCCAAAATACTCCTATTACAGAGATAATTTCCATAACAAACAAAAATCGGAGTAAGTAAGCCTCCAGTTCTTTAGGAGTTAAACAATCTACCAGCTGGTTCGCCCTGGAGTGATGAGATCCATGTGCTACTCTGACCCTGGCCTGTAGAACAACCTTCAGCAACTTCTTCCCTCTCCACTGCCCCTCAGCTTTCCCCACTCAAGAGATGGCAAAGCAGAACACTTACTTTTCGGCATCGTGCTGCCAAAACAACTTTGTAAAGCGTTGTATGTACAGGTAGGAACTGTGCCAAGAGTGTTATCCTTTAACTCACCCAATCCTTCACAGGAAAGTCAAAAAGTAAGTCACTGAAAGCTGGGACTCGGGAGACAGAGCATCAGTCCGGTCAAACAATTTTAACAGCACCTTCTAAGAGAAAAGTGCATCCTTCAACAGTGACGAGCATTTACCATGTAATTACATGTGTGCGAGAGAAAAAATTATCTATGACAAACATAAGTTGTTAAGAAAAACTCTGATCCAAATTACACATCAGATCCCTCATTTGAATGTTTCAGTAGAAAAATAAACCGCAGTGCCTAAGAAATAGAAATGCTGCTCATTTTTAAAGCATTTGATCAGTCTATGCTGTAACAGCTCCCGTGACAGCTCTTCACTCTTCTCCTGTCATCACATACAGATTTTGCCTACATCATACATCTGGGTACCTTACCTCGAAGTTCATTTTAAGTCAATAGCAATGCTGGACTAAAGCTGCAGAGTTGTTGGCTTACGCTCAGCTGAAGAGCCCACAGCTCTTGGCGAGTTCTAGGCAAAAGTGCCGGAATCCCTAAACTCGCTGCAGGACTCCTCCAGGCTGGGAAGCCATCCACTTGGGGGTTTCTGGTGCTCGTTCTTCCAAAGCGAGCAAAGAGAAGACATTGGTGTTAAGTACAAAAGAAATAAAGATGCTCTCAGCAGCTCGCTGATGACTGAGACATTCTGTCCATGTGTTCTCCACCTAAATGGGACCCTTCAGGCATACTACTAAAATAATGACATTTCTTAAAGACCCTGCTTTATGACCTCCCTCGCATGACAAGCACATAAATAGACACCACCAACCACCTAATTCTGGCTCAGTATCTAACAAATCTAACACCATTCTCCCCACAAATGGAGCCCTTACCCATATACAAAAAAGCATGAAGATTATTTGATCTCTTTCTAGAAAACTACAGCTCTGTTACTGAGCATTCAAACCCAAAGACGGGATCCTCATTCAGAGAGATACTCCGCTCAACTCTCCAGCACTAAAACCTCAGAATGACCAAGCTGGCAAACAGATACTACAGTCAATAGGCTTAAAAGTAGTCTGATTTAACCAATTCCTTGTATATTTTGAGCTTTAACCTTTAATCTATACTCAAGATAGGACAGAAATCTAAAGTCAGAATTTCACAGCTCTTTAAGGAAAATAAGAGAGCCGCAGTACTATTATCCAAAGGTTCTCTGTGAATCTGAAAGATCATGAGTAAGATTTCATCACGATGGCTTTAAGAACACATTTTTGTAAATTAAAATGCTGGGTTTTGGATAAAAGTCTCTGCAGGAGACTGCAAAGACTGACGCTTTAGAAGACTTTAATTTTGGAAAACATTTTTGTTATGCAAAAGAAAAAGCAGATGCTTTCAATCAGAATGGTTTATTTTAAACTAAGAAAAATATAATCTCTCCACATGAGAGCACTACGTGTGCATGTCTTCTGTTTCGGGCTCTGCTGAACTGAACACCAAATGGCTGCCAGTCTTTGCAGAACACCCAGATCTTTAGAGAAGTTACACATATAGTACTAGGACAGTAATAACAGTGATAAACTACGTACAGCCTTCAATAATTAATTGGAAACTAATCTAAGTCAGCCACTGACACCAGCGAGCACGCACCAAGATGCTCCTTCCAAAAGAGAAAGTCATGTACCTGAAATTTACAGTCCTTTCAAAAAACTTCACAAAAGTCTTTAAAGCTTTTAATTGCTCTAAATCTAATTAGTAGAAGAGCTAATTAGGCAGAGATATTACAACATCACAGTTAATACAGCAAAGCCCTCCCCTTGCCACTAATGAGCTTAGTTACTTCCACAATGCTTAGCGTTCTCATGCTTCACTCCAAACCATGTGTTCCGTAGACTGGCAACAGATTCGTCTTGTAAAAACAGCAGCATGTGCTGCTGAATAGATCTTGAAGAGATACCGAATTAGAGGACAGTATCTCCTTCATTTTGATTAACTCTTCCCAGCATAGGCTGTCACTCGTAACAGAACTGGTTAAATGTAACGGCTCTGCAAACGTTACACAACTGCCTCCATGTACAGGGAGTGCAGTTCTAGGAGCAAAGCACGTTTCAGAGGCAGAGAAGCTCAACGCTTGTTTTGGTCTGATCCAGTCGAAAACTTGGATTATCCAGCTCTCTGCTCCAGGATTAAACTTCAAGAACTCACTGTTCTGCTTATCACAGACCCATAGCACCGTGAAGGAAAGAGAACGCGGTATGATAATACTGGGAAGATACACTAACGTCGACCTGCAAGCTTTCCACTCCAATGAAGTAATTTGCAGAACTGAAGCCTACGCTCCCACTATCAGCCTGCAGAAAATTCAAAATTTTAAGTATTCAATTTTCTTTTCAAAGTAGGCTGGGATATCCTAACTTTAATTGCTCCATTAACTGATGATTTCAAGACTTTTAGGCTACTTTACAATTATCTCAAAGAAAATTCCCTCCTAAACATACATGGAAAAAATGAAGGGGTGGAACATCAGGAAAGTCAGTGGTGTTGTCAGGATTACACCATTACCGGCACTGCAAGAGCAGTAAGGGAATACCCTTCAAAACACACAAAAAAAAAGAAAACCAAGCCCCCAGTCACTAACCATGAAAACATTTGTATTAGTCTTGCATTTAGTATGGCACTGACCACATTGGATAAACACAACCCCCCGCTTCAGCTCCAAATTTTAAGTTCAAATCACATTTATATATATTAGAAGAATTACCAAAAATAAACTCAACTGAGTAGCTAATCTTGGCTCTAATTCCATTTCTACCATGCAGCAAGTCACTTGAAATAACAAAGCTGTGGATTTTAACCTTGAGTCAGGCCCACAAGATGATGAGAAATTCATGCTGTTGTCCAGACATGTAGCACCAAAAAAAAAAAGCTTGCTTTTTTTTTTTTTTTTTTAATGTGCTACTCCACTATAATGCTATTTTAATATATTAAGGCCTGCATACACAAGGTCAAGATAAACATCTGGAAAAAGCAAAAGCTATTGCAGAGTAAGAACTTCAGCAATTTAGGAATCAACTGTCTGAAAAGAGGTTTTCTGAGTGAAAAGTAGTCTAAGTCTGGAAAACACTTCAGGAATCATTTATAGCAGTGGGTTCTTAAACACACGCACACTTCAGTTTCCAAAGCTGACTTAATAGTTACCACTTGTTTGAATCAGATTGTGAGATTGTGTTAAGCACTGTACATCTTTGATTTGCAACAGCATCCTCTGGGCTGCAAAAGGAACGTGCGTGCAGGCTGGAAGCAGGGAAGTTACGAAGCATTATCTCTGGGAAATACACCCAGTGGCCCGAACACCCTCATGGCTAACATTGGAAACGTGAGAAAAAAAAATAGTTATTCAGTAAAGAATATAATTTTTGGATGAGGTTTTATTTTATCCACGTAAGGCAGATACACATAAATGTCTGTCAATTTTTCCTCCTCTAAATCATTTCCTAATCCCTGACCCGCTGATTAATGGACTACTGAAGAAAGAGGCAGACAGAAAA